TGACCGCGGGGCGCGTGTCCGCAGACATTCGACCTCGCACTCGTAAGCGCTACCGGAAGGAGGTGCCGATGGTGATGATCCCACGGGGCCCGGCATCTTCAACGGATAGATATGTGTAATTGGGCCGCCATGAACTTCGCGTAACATGGTCGCCCCTGAATGGCGTGGAAAGTCCCTGGGAACCCCACTACATCGAAGGTGAGGGTCTCGGTCCGGTAATTGGATCGATCCCCAAAAGTGACGGGCAGGTCAATCTGCCCTAGTGGCACGGCTTGCCTTCCTAGTACGACGCCATGGAAAGGTGCTCGGACGGGGCGGAGGCGCGTTCGGTCGACGCCCATCTCGTCGAGCGTCTTGGCGTACATGATGTTAAGGCCGCTGCCCCCATCCATCAGTACCTTGGTGAGCCGCTTTGGACCGACGATCGGGTCGACGACAAGCGGATACCTTCCCGGGTGTGGGATGGCATCCGGATGGTCGGTCCGGTCGAAGGTTATGGCGGATTCCGACCACCGGAGATAGGCTGGCATAGCCGGTCCTGCGGTATAGACCTCTCGACGTGCGACCTTCTGGCGGCGCCTGGAGTCATAGGCCGTTGATCCTCCGAAGATCATGAGGGCACCGGTCGGAGTTGGGAAGGTGTCGTCCTTCTCCTCTGTGTCGTTAGTGGTGGGAACAGGCTCCTTCCCCGCTCCTCCTTGTTAAGGCCCCCGACCAAGTATTTGCTCATAAGGCCGCATTCCTTGTATAGGTGCTTGGCCGGAAGGCGTGGTTTGGGCATGGCCCCTCGAGCATTTTCTCGGTGGTTCGGAGTGCCCTCCGCGGGGCTTCCGCCACCTTTTGCGGCCGGCAATGGCGTCATGAGTGAGTTGTCGCGCTGTTGTTTCTTTTTTTCCCTTTGGCGGACGGTTGGAGGCGCCTTCATTTGGCGCCCTCGTCCCGCTTTGTTTTTTTCGCTTTCGATACGATCAAAGATGGCCCCGACCGCCTCCTCTCCAGGGCGTGACTAGTGGCGATGTCCAGAGTTCCTTGGTAGTTCGCGGGCCCTGCGTCCCCAGCTTGTGGACCGAGGATTCGCAGTCGTTTCGGGACGAAGGCTCCTATTACGTCGGCGTCGGCGACGTTCGGGAGCTCATTGCACTATCGGGAAAAGCGCCGGATGTACCCGCGGAGGGTTTCATCGGCTTTCTGACGGCAGTTCTTGAGGTCCCATGGGTTTCTGTATGCGCTTGTATGCGTGCCTCGAAATTACCCACGAAGATCTCAATGATCCGCCCAACTCGAATAGCATTGACGGTAGGTGCTCCACCACGCTTTCGTCTTTGTCGGCCAGAACAGCGGAGATTGCGAATAATGAAATCATCATCACTAGCACCACCGGCCTGACATGCAAGCCGATAGTCTTCGAGCCAAAGCCCGGGGTTTGTTTCGCCAGAATATTTAGGAATGTTCATAGGCGGTCGATACCTTAGAGGGAACGCAGCGTTGAGGATGTGCCAGCCAAAGGCCTGAGGGCCTGGCAGGACGGGGCTCGGGCTTCGGTCCTCGTTGCTGTCGTAGCGCCCGCCACGTCGGGGATGATAGCCGTGGCGCCGCTTCTCCCTCGTCACCGTGGCACGCTCCGAGCCGTCGATGATGCTTGTACGCGTCGCGCCACGGCGGCGCGCTGATGTCTGAGGACGACGGAGGGCTGCCACGGCCGGCGGTGTGTTTGGTGTACGGATGCGTCCTTGGTGGGATGCAATCAAGGTGCTGTGCTACCGGCTGGTGTCGGGTTCGCGTCGTCGAGACAACGAACTTTCCGCTTTCTTCTTGGCTGCGCGCCGAAAGAACGTCGCGAATCTCCCGATAAGCGCGTCGATCCTCGGACGTCGCGGCCTCCGGGAGACCATGCAGCAAGGCGGTCGCTGCGGCGATGTTCTGGCTGGCTCGAGCAAAGTGAGGAAAGGCCCCATCGTCGGTGAGGATCCTTTGATGTACGGTGCGGGCTATGGCGCACGCGCGCCCCCCATCTTTGCGGCGTTCAATCTCGCGATTGATGTCCGCGTATTCCCGTGCGAGCCCTTGCCCGGCCTCATCGATCTCTTGCTGACGAGCCCTTAGCTGCTCCATCCTCAAAGCGAGATGGGGCTGTCCCTTCTTCCCGGATCTGCTGCCGATTGTTCGTAGGGGTGGCCTCTTCCCGAGGCGCTTTCGACGTGACCTCGTGGGTCCGCGTCATGTAGCATTCTCGGGAAGGGTGGTGGCTCCCCTCTGGAATCCGAGCCGAGAGCGACATGAGCTCCTCGTTGAGGAGCTCGTAGAGGGTCTCCGTATCCCGCTCAATCGCCCCCACGAACTCGATGTCCGTGGGTGGTTGAACCACACGAAGCGCCGTAAGACGGCCAGCGGTTGCCGCAACGCTATGCGAAGACCGAACGGAACGCTGTCGGGCGCTCCATACGGACCCTTCCGGACACATGGTGGCGTTGTGAGAGGCTTCTTTGGGTGACGGGACTCCCGGGAGTTGCCCGGAGGACCCTCAAGCCCGAGACGGCCGAGGTTGATGGAAGGGGAGATGGGGCGGCTGAGTGAGTCAGTGCCTCTCCTTCTAGTGTGATGATGAAATCCAGGTCGCCGAAACGCACGTGTGCGCCCGGGGCCCAGGTGATTGCGTGGGTGGTCATCCGAGACCTGGTTTGGAACGCGCAAAGCCCCTACACTGGCGCTAACCCAACCGGTGGTTTTCGTATAAGCACCGCAAGTGAATTTATAATAGTAATGCGCGTTAGGCTCGGATGGTGCGCTAAAGGACACAGATTTATACTTGGTTCGGGCGAAACGTCCCTACGCCCGCTTTGTTGTTTGCTTGTGTTATTAGCACCGTAACGATCTCGTAGTAAGGGATACAAACGCCGAGAGAGGGACCGGTCCCAAGTATCTCGATCGAAGGATTGAAAGGTGGTCAAGAGCTTCGTGAGTCGCTTGAATGGGTGTGAGTGCGTTCTATTGTTTTGTCCTCTTTTTCTTTCGTCCCCTTTGATGGAAGAAGCGCATCCCCTTTTATAGATGAAGGGCCGGCTTTACAAGGGTAAGGGCTCCAGACGCGTACTCTACTTAGTCTTGTGGCTCACGCTCACTGTCGTGTCCTCCACTCATGAGTGCGAAGGAAGATAAGTGTTTACAATGTTGTCGATGTCTCAGAGGATGTCGGGTTAGTCATAGAATGCTGCCTCGCTTGCAGGTATGGGCTGCAAGATGATGATGGTTTTGACTTATGAGCCTCCCCACCTTGCTCCGCACGCCTTCCGGTTCTCATGAGTCCTTGTTGGGAGAATGCGGGGTCGGGGTCCGTGTAACGCCGCGGTCAAGGCCTTCTCGACCGGGAGGACTGAGGGGGTCGGGAAGCGGGCGCCGCTCCCTCGGGTCCACCGTGGTGACGGAATACCCATCGTTCGTGGAGATAGCAAATCCTTTCCCGGAGCGTAGCGGTTGTCGATATCTTCGCGGGTTCCGTGTCCCAGAGCTCAAGGCGGCGCCTACAACTCTGACAGGTGAGGTGCACGCACCTGTAATACCTTTTGGGCTCTGCGGCGCCCGGAAGGGTCTAAAGCTTCAGTCCTGTCGTTCCTTGGCAGTCCTTTTCCTGCCAGGGCGCAGGGTATGGTCGTTGGAGCCATGGTTGACCCGAACGTCTTGTCTCGTCCTGTACCCATCATTATGAGGGATAGATATCGATCGTAGCAGGCTCGTTCTGGCCGTCGGGTGAGGTGACCCGCCCCTCCCGGCTCGGGCGAGACGGAATTCATCCCTCAGCCCTCGGGCGAGACCGAGCCCGCCCACAAGGCGTCGGGCGAGGCGGAGTTTATCCCTCGGCCTTCGGGCGAGACCGAGCCCGCCCTATAGGCGTCGGGTGAGACGGAGATTAGCCTTGAGCTTTTGGGGCGAGGCAGGGTTATCCTACAAAGGCGTCGGGTGAGGCTGACCCCGCCCCTCCGGGGTCGGGCGAGACGGAATTCATCCCTCAGCCCTCGGGAGAGACCGAGCCCGCCCTCAAGGCGTCGGGCGAGGCGGAACCGAACTCCTGTCACTCGAACAAGGGATGACATGGAGCCCTTATGCATCTAGAAGTTTTTCACGTTCGGTGGTCATCGGTTCCACCTTCTGGGATACCCTGGTATTAGGTCCCCGACACCTATTCACTCCCCTCTAGGCGTACCAGAGATCCTACATTCTTCCCACGCGACAGCGGTGCGACGGCGGTGGAGGAGCCCGTCGCTGGCTGCACCCCTCACTAGATCGGATTGGGTTTGTTGGTGGGTGTGGCGGCTCACGGTAAACTACTCCTTTCGTTCAAATTATATTTCACTTTAGATTTGTCTTAAGTCAAAAAAATTTTAACTTTGATCAAGTTCATAGAAAAATACATTGACATATACAATATCAAATTAGTTTCATTAAATTCTCATGCAATGTGTTTTGATCGTGCATTTATTTAAACTTGCAGATGATATCTAGAAACTTAGGTCGAAGTAAGAGAAGTTTGACTTAAGACAACCAAAGTGAACTATAATTTGGAACGAAAGAAATAGTTGTTTACCTGAGAAAACCTTGTATGAAGATAACTGTGTTTTATGTACTAATGTTAGCCAGCAAGTTCTATTAACGTTAAAGTCACAACTTGTTCTACTTTGCTATTGTTCTCCAACTGTTTATTTAGAAATATTGTTGTTCTAAAACCTGTCTATACCATTGTTGTCCTGGCACAATATGTTTTGATGTCTAACAGCAAATCTGTTTACTTCTTTAACTGGGTTTGAACTTCTATATGCATTTCAATAATTAGAAACATATATGACTTTCTTTTTGCAGGCGCAAGTGGTCCTTGGAATGGTGAAAACATCAAAAACTGTATGTAAACTAAGTTCTTGAACTTCTTTTAACATTAATATCTAGCCTGCTAATCAGCAATTGAATTTTACTGTTGCATGCCCTCTGTCCTACAGGCACAATCTTCAGACATGGTCCCACCCACAGCAGTGCCAACAGCACCTCCCTCAGTCAAAACTACTGCACCAGATCATGTCAGCTTGCCTCCACCCCCATTACCTGCTAACCAGCGGATTGTTGCTCAACTTTCTGCCCCGTTTCCATCTGGCTTGTCTAATGTGGGATTGACCATGGACATTCCTACTATTTCAGCAAACCCACCACAACCAACACAAGCAAAAGGCTACCCTATGCATCAGATGCCTTCATCAGCTCCTCAGCCATCTCAACATCCAAATATGGCCCTGCCTCATGCTCCTCCACAGTATTCCAATCTTCCATCACATATACCTATAGTTCATAGTCAGCCACAGCAACCTTTGCAAAGTCCTGCAATATATAATCAACAGTTGCAACCACCTTTGCCCCAAATGTCTAGGCCACTATCTATGCAGTCCTTTGCTCATCAGATGCATCCACAAGTACCAAATTCATTTGGGTTGACTCATGCAAATGCTCCGCAGCACATGTTACAACAACCGATGTTTCATGTAAGATTCTATGCTGAATCCATATGATCCTGATAACTAGATACCATGCTCATACTGATAGATGATTTTTGGAATTTCACAGCCAGGTGCGAATCCTCAAACTAATTTCCTTCCTGGCCAACCATCATTGCCTAGCCAGCCACCACCACAGCAGCTGTATCAGGTACAATTTGTTGTCTTCTGAAATATATCATTATGTTGCATTGGAGTTGCTGCATTTACCTTTCCAAAGAAGTTAATATGAGTATCTTCCCAATTGCATTTGTGTTTGATGAAGATTCAAGATTGTTAGGAAAAGTTACATTTAGGAAGTGCAATAAAGTGATTACATTCTTCATTGTTATCATCACAAGAGTTCTTGGTTTAGAAGAACCATGGCCAAGTTTCATGTTGGGTCCGAAGTTCTAACATATTTGTCTAGTTATATGTGCTGACCATTTTTAAATTCTCAGTATTTAGTAGCATATGCTCGAAATGTTCTTCAGATTTTTTTTTACCTAATCAAATTGGCATCCATATGGACCTGTAGAGCGCTTCTTGTTATGAAAATGGGCTACATATTTTCTTAGCTAGGTTCTACTGACGTTTCCTTGTTCTAAGTAACATCTGGCTTTTCTTCCCTGATTATTGGTGCATATAAAGTTCAAGTTTTGCCATTGTTCTTAGGCCCATGGCACTACTCTATTCCTAAGGGCATAAATACAACAAACCTATACTGTACAATCTCAACTTTTATACGATTGGTCCTTTTCATGTTTTGACAACTTCCAATCATGATAATGCACCATAGTTCTTGTGCATGAAAAATACCACAAGTACATGAAAAATTCTTAAAAAAAACTAGCAAATTTCACAAAACACTAGGTACTTTTGCTTCTTGTACTCATCTAGATGCAAAACGAAGATAAGCTCTCTTGGCTTCTCATTAATGAATGGGACTTGTGATGTACTGATATTGACGGTAGAAGCCTTAGTAAAATAAAGATGGACGGGGATTTCCTTTTCCATTTAAAGTTGGTTGACCTGATTGTTTCTCTTGGGTGATCTCAATTTGATCACATGTTCTGCATTAAGAAAAAGGGCAAGGGTTGGATTCTTGGCGAGCATAGTGTTGATAGAAAGGCATGAGCAGGTTTTACTGGAATGTAGCTAAGTATCAAAACATTAACATTGCAAACTTGTATGTGATGATGAAGAATGGTGATGAAAGCACCAGTATAATGTCAAGGTCAATGACAAAGGATTATTGGCCTTAATGATGTGGGTCATAATCGATCTTGCGTGAAGATTAGCACTAACTCAAAACGGACTGAAACGAGCTTTCAGTTGAGCTTCGTTACCTAGGAGTACCATCGGGTGCGTCCTAAATGATATCTAAGCCTATGGTACATTTGGCGCAAACCGTGCACCTATCTTGCACTAACACTAACACCATCTCCAAACGGACCAAACGAGATTCCACATGACCCACGTCACCTAGGCGTTCCATCGGGTGCGTCCAAAACGATATCTGAGCCTATGATACGTTTGGCGCAAACCGTGCACCTATCTTGCACTAACACTAACACCATCTTCAAACGGACTGAACTAGATTCCACATGACCCACGTCACCTAGGAGTTCCATCGAGTGCGTCCAAAACGACTTCCGAGCCTATGGTACGTTCGACGCAAACCGTACACTGATCTTACGTCAAGATTAGCACTATCTCCGAACGGATCAAAACGAGCTATCTGTAGGGAAAATATCTTGAAGCTCAAGGTGCAGGGGGAGGGCCAAATAACAGAAGAACTGTAGTTTTGCCCCCCTGTGTTGCACCGAGATAGGTGAAGGAGCAAAAACTATGGTTTTGTGTCATATACTCATAAGCTGTTGTGTTGCAATGTCACCTGTACGTGTGTCTCTGTGTTGCTCAAATAAATCTGGTTGTCTGCTTCCCATCTTTCTGAAGGAATGTACATACACACTTGTCAATTCTTCAATGCTTGTGAAATAAATGTTCTTCCAGTCTCCTTTTCATTGTCCTAAGAAATAAAGGTTCTGAAACAAATGCTAGACCGCTAGATATCTGTTTACTTTCTTGGTTGTTTAGTGACCACTATAGTATCATCTAAGATGCTTAGAAATTTTGTGGCTGGTATATAGAACTGAGATCACTGTTCTTGGAAGATGTCAACCATTTGTGCACACATATCTCCCCGAACATGGCGTTTCATGTTTTCTTTCAAAAAAGGGAAAAGGAGAAAAGTTCAACAAGCTTCAATTACATATGGTCCAAATGAAGCACATGCAACTTATTGCAAAGATAGTCTTGCTGTTGTACTCTATGAGTAGTTCAGTCTTTCATGTGATTTGGTGACCATGGCTCAGTGCATAACCCTTGTAATCTATCTGCTCAGCAGGCTAGTTCACACTACAATACACAAAGTACGACCCCAATGGGAGTTCATAGGTCAGCTCCCTGGGGACGGGCCCCAGAAGCTCCCATTTCTGGCTCTCATTTCCCTGGACAATTACCTGGGTTGCCCGGACAAATGGCCCAAGGAATTGGTGGTATCCAGGCAGGCCAAGCACCTGTAAGTGTCTTCTGTTAGTATTTGGGAACAACAATTGTCTGTATTTCCTCGTTAAAAAAGCATTTGTCTGTATTAACATTACCTTCCTATGTTTTCTCCTGTTAGTGTACTTAACTCTGGTTATATTGCTCGGGCAGCTGACACCTGAGATGGAAAAGATGCTAGTCCAGCAAGTCCTGGGCATGTCCGCTGAGCAGATTAACATGCTGCCTCCGGAACAACGGCAATGATAGATCTTGAGTTGACTGGGTAGAAAAGTTTCAGTTCACTGCAGCAGAGATCCCGACTGTGGGTGCCTGTTCGTTTTAGCCTTTTGTATCACCTGATTGACATCCCGACTAGCCTGCAGCCTATCTTGGAGATGCGATCGTAGAATGCTAGCCATTGTCGTCATTTATAGAAACGCTTGGGCAATGTGTTTTGCTATGGACTCACAGAACAGCATGTTTTGGTCCTGTTCTGGCGCTTCAATTTCAAGTCGTGTTAAACACTTACGATGCCCCCTGCCCCCCCTAGCTCCGTACCAACTACTCCGATGCATGGAGACGAACCTTGCTAAACTGATTGTTGAATTACCGAAAGAACGCAATTCTAGGTTTGATTTAAACCATCTTAAATTCAGAGTTAATATTTATGACTCTGAATAAGTATATTATTAAATCACTTCTCCTATATTTTAGGAGGTTTAATTTTGTTATTGTTTAGACAACCATTAATTTTGTTAGAGCATCTCCAAGACTTTCTAAAACCCACTCTTAATCAAGATTTTTTAGCAAGATTAAAAAAATGTTCTCCAACAACTCCCTATAAAAAAAACTCCCAATCTTTATGCATTTGGAAAAATCGATCCAATCGTGCGGAAATATACACATGCATATTGACGTGGCATAATCTGGAGTTGGAAGGATGTGAAAAAGGATAAAGAGTAGGACAGAGTTATTAATGTAAATATTCAAGAAAGAAAATACAAAAGTTGTTGTGGTGATTTAGAAATAGCTTATGATTTTGTCTTCTATATTTTAGGAGCGAACTTTTGAAAACTGTTCGAGGAACCCAACAAATATGCTCCCAATTTTTTTAGCCACTTCTAAAACTCATTAATCTATCAACTATTTTTCCTTAGAACTATTGGAGATGCTCTTATTATTTGACTATAGAGAAAAATGTAAATTATCTCTTGTGAGTCGTCCTTTTAACTATACTAGTTGGTTGTTTATGATTTGTGCTAGTTAGTTGTTTAAGACCATCGTCCGAAAATTCAGGCACATAAAATATATAGCAAATCTTTATTCAAATATATTTCATTTATGTTGATACTTATTATGATAAATATTGATGTATTTTTAATATAAACTAGTAATTTTTCTGTTGCTACAAGTTAAGAAAAAAATCCATGTAAAATACTTCATACCCTTCTATCCCGACGAGATGTTTCTTTATTTATTACTATTGGTCTCTCAATAGCAGTCATAACTACTTTTTGTATCCCAAAATATTTATTGTTTTAGGATTTTTAGAATAAATTAGTGGTCAATGTAAATTGCCTTGTACTTATTCTGATCGAAGGTGATCCATGTTGATTAAGGATTAAGACGCTAAAAGAAATACATAGAGGCAGGCCACAACTCCAAGTTGATATGGCCCAACTTAGTGTCCAATAGCTAAAACATCAATTTTTGTAGGACGGATGGAGTATATTTACTAATATCTTTGTTACCCTTTTGGATATTGTCTTCTTTTATATAATCTTAGTGTCTATGTTTTGTTTGTGTTATGATCGCTATTCTAGGGGACGTTTGGATGGTTTGCCTAGCCTGCCCTCGCTCGTGACGCAAGAAACGAGGAGCTCGCTCGAGCGGGCGAGCCGATCGGCTTCTCCGACTGTGGCATTGCTGGCACGAAAACCGAAACAGCTAGCAAAGCACCCAAACGCATTCACTGCCCTACTATCCTCACTCGGCAAGGCTGGACCTGCTCCGGCAAAAGAACCAAACGTGCCCTTAAATGCGAACAAACCTAAGATGGCTGCTTTAGCACTATGCTAGACGATTAGTTAGTTAATTAATTAATATACAAGGACTTTCGATAGAGTGACATGAACTATTGGGTTTCGAAGAAATCCTGTCTTTCTTCCTTACTAGCTAAAAGACTATTGTATGCATCTACAGCAACGCTTAATTATTGTAAGTAGCTACAACATTTTCTTCTTTTATATGTAGGCATTTCTACAATGCCCTTATTTTTTTCCGGGTTGCTTTACCCAAGAAGGATTTTTCTGCTCTTTAAGGAGTTTTTTTTTATTTAGGTTGTTATAAGAATAGCAGTGTCAGGGGAATGTGTTTACTCGTTCTGCTTTCGGTCGTCTATTCGTTTATTAGTTTAGCCATCAGAGACCGACTGCAATTGCAAGCTTCAAAGCCTTCTTCATCAAGCAATACACGGTTAGATTATCCAGGCAGGAACCAGCTGTGACAAGTGGCCAGGTGGGTCCCACGCGTCAGCCCCCACAAATCACCCATCAGCCCAGCCACTCAAGAAATTTCTGTAGAGCGAGAAAATGACGCCTAATCAGCGTGTTTTGTTTTGTCTCGTCGACCGAGAGACCGACCCGGCCGTCGGCCTCCGTCCTCCCTGGCGGCCTGGCCGCCTTCCTCCCCGTCTCGGGCGTCTCGCCCTTTTCCTCTACAGCTTCCTCTGCCCAATCAGCTCTGCTCGTCCTCTCCCCTCCTCTCCCTCCCTCCCGTGAACCACCAAAATCCCTCGCCGAACAGTGATAAAGCCGCATTCCGCGTCGGGTTGGGTGGTCGATAAGCCGAAAACCGGAGGGAGAAGCAGCAATCGAGTGCTGCGCTGGTTCGTCCGAACCAATCCCGCCGGGAATCCGGGTCGTTCGACCGCGACTGAGGAGGCGTCTGGGCTCTGGAGGAGCGGTCGTCGGTGAGGAGGGATGGGCGGCGGCGGAGGAGGAGGAGGAGCCTCCGGGCCGGAGCTGTCGACGGACAACATGAAGGGGATAGTCCTGGCGCTGCTCTCCAGCGGCTTCATCGGCGCCAGCTTCATCATCAAGAAGAAGGGTCTCCGTCGGGCCGCCGCCGCGACCGGCGTCCGTGCAGGTCGCCCCCCCTCCTGTCCCTCTCGTACTATTGACCGTGGTACCTGGAGCAGGCCGGTTTTCTGGTCAAAAGATATGTCGACTTTGGTCGGTTTGGAATGTTTTCTGAATTCTGATGAAGTGATGATGGCATGTGCAGGTGTCGGCGGGTACTCGTACCTCATGGAGCCCCTGTGGTGGGTCGGCATGATCACTAGTAAGGTTTCCTCGTGCAACTCCAGTAGAGAATTGGGCATGATGCTTAGAGACTATTAGGCGTTTCTGAGCGAAGGTTCCCCTCTTTCAGTGATTGTAGGTGAGATTGCCAATTTCGTGGCATATGCTTTCGCCCCCGCTGTGCTGGTTACTCCCCTTGGAGCGCTCAGCATAATTGTTAGGTCAGCTAGCTCAGACTTTCTCCTTGCAATTTGGCAGTTGGATTCATCTTTGTAGTCAAACTAGAATTTGACGTTGAGGGTGTCTTCACCCTTCAGTGCAGTGCTGGCTCATTTCATTCTGAATGAGAGGTTGCATGCCCTCGGGGTGCTCGGCTGCGTGATGTGCATTGCAGGGTCTGTGGTCATCGTCATCCACGCTCCACAGGAGCAGGAGATTACTTCAGTTAGGGAAATATGGAACATGGCGACACAACCTGGTAAGGACTATCATCGGTGTGATTCCGTCTTGTACAATTGCTAGCTCTTGATTTGTAGGAAATGAGATATTGTGGCTGATAAGATATATTGGTACTTTCTCTTGCAGCTTTCTTGCTATATGTTGCGTCAGTTATTGTGATTGTTTTTGTCCTGGTGTTCTATTTCTCCCCTCTCTATGGGCAGTCCAATGTGTTGATCTACACTGCCATTTGCTCTTTGATGGGCTCTCTTTCGGTAATGTCACTTCTGCCAGCAGTTCGTATGTTCTCTAAATGTTTAGTTGATTATATTCTAATATATTATTGCTAGGTAATGTGCAAACTTTTTTTCTCATTATCCAGGTTATGAGTGTTAAGGCTCTTGGTACATCATTAAAGCTCACTTTCGAGGGAACAAACCAACTAATATATCCAGAGACTTGGTTCTTTATGCTTGTTGTGGCTACTTGTGTGCTGACTCAGATGAATTATCTGAACAAGGTTTGTTCAACTTGTTACATGTTGCTTTGCTTTCATTCAGTAACTGTAGTTCTATGACATAACTGTCTACATTCTAGCTGCGAAAATGGTATGTTGATAGAGAAGAACTATCTGAATGCAGTTTGGAAGTTGAACCTTTGCAAATGCATTAGCAAAAATAGGTGTTGTGCTTGTAAGTCGTGTAACCTTTAAAGGATTCAAAAGGAAAGTTAATAAGAAAGTTTGTTGGGAATAATTTAAGACCAAATGACTATAAGAAATATATGGACATCGATCAAATTAGTGAGAACTAAGAACGGAATGGAACATGAGAATTTCCATGTAGACGTGATCTTATTGTTTGTTTTTTTACCTGAGACTAGCACATGCCCGTGCGTTGCTACGGGAGCTTAAAATTTTCATCGCAATAAGAGTATAAAAAAATAGTTGGTCAAAAACTATTTTTTTTAACTCAGATTAACAATACTATACTAAATTCAAATTAATAAGCATCAATTTTAGTAATAGTGTCAAAACAAGTGCATGATAGACAAGTTCTCCATAACCATCTCTTTCATAGTTTTTTTTTCCATTATGCGACTATGATATTCTTGTACAGATACAGGAATTATAAAACTGCTGTGAACTTTGTGATTGGCATAGATGAGAACAAAGTTCTTCTGTAGTGTTTGGCCATCCTGTGAAGAAGACATAGTGATGTAATTATTGGTTTTTGCTCGTACGTTGCAACGGGAATAAAAAAACCATTATTACGATGATCGTTATGAGCTTAAAAATCCATGTTCTCATATATTTCCCACTTATAACACATATATAAAACAATGACTTGTGTTCATCTTGGTTCCGAATCAAGCACAAGTAGTGTAGTTCATGAATCGCTTTCAATAATTTGTGTCACAAAACAATTCATTTATAATGACTCCTACATCCATTCCTTTATTTAGGAACAAAGAATAAAGATGGGGGCGATCTATTTTAGATGATATTATCACATAACCGACTCA